TTTAGACGTCGTAACCCCTTTATCAACCAGGACCAAGTATAGTGCATTTTTTTTTTAATACTTTTATTTCCTAATGATTATTTGACCTTCTAACTTATGAAAAGGTAGAAGTCCTGTTATTGTATATTTATCATAAATGTTACTAGGGATACTGATTAGCTACTTATACATAAATGTATACAAAAAAAAACGATTTAATTAAAAGAAAAAAAATTACTTGAAAGATGCTTAAAAATGTAAGGTATTCGAAAAACATTTTATATTTCCAAATATTTTATTAGCTAACCGTATGTGATATTAATATAAGTTCGGCTTAGAAGAATCGTGGTTTACATCCTACATGTGCACAGGCGGATTTACGGGGGAGGCTTTCGGGCTGAACCCTCTCCAAAAATGGTAAAATATAACTATGTTTAATAGAAAACTTTTTTAAAAACTATCTCTTAAATTATTATTGTTCGTGTGATTACATTTGGTAGGACTTCAAGAATAACTTAGCCACCATGTCATATGGGTAGTTAGTTTCTTTCTTTTTATTTTTTAAATTATTATCGTTATATATATGAAAAAAAATCCTTCGGGCTGAAACTCCCCCAAAATTAAATCCTGGATCCGCTAGTGTACCTGTGTAATGAACTTCGAATTTTCTCAAGTAGTGAATGTATGTTATTCATAAATTAAGAATTAATAAATTAAGATGTTAACTCAATGTTATTTTATTTTTCAAACAAAATTAAAAAAGGAAAATAAAAGAACGACTATTTAACAAATTTCTATTTATTTGTTCAATAACATATCATTCTGTCACTTGGACAATCATTATATAGGGTAAGATCATGTTCACTCTATACCTAGAAAAATAAAAATAAAATAAACAGAACAAAAATAATAATCAAAGAGTATATATTGATTGGGTTGGCAAATAAGTCCTTTCGGTTTTTCAGGGTGAAATAAAACTCAATATATTATAGACATAAAATTTTCTAAGCTTTCTACTGACTGCATAGCAAGTGGTTTTTGAAGTCTTCTTCCTTTTGGAATTTCTTTCCATTCATGGAGTTCTGGAGAGACGGAAATAAGTGGTAGTCACTTGGAGCGGGTCTGGTGAATATGGAGTGGGACAAAAGGGTCCATTCAAGGCTCTTTTGCGCATACCTTATTGCGAGTGACCAATGAGGTATGCGACCTAGCGTTATCTTGGTGGAACACAACAACCTTCCGTTCATTCATAACTCTTCAGGATGTTTTCCAAATTAAGTGTTACTATATCTGTTTGAAAGCTGAATTATTGCCCTTCAAAGCCGTATGAATGATTTTTTTTATTTAATGCGTACATAAGGAATAAATAAACAAAAACTTCTTTTAGGTTTTTATTTTTTATCTTCATTTGTCGTTTATTTACGAAGGTCCTGTTGATGTTTTTGCTTACCTTTTTTAAAATAATACAACAAAATGTGCCGATAGTGAATGATATTTTCTTCCATATTCATAGTGTAGTAGCAAACACAATACTAAGCTAGTTTTAACAAGAGTTAACAGATATAGTTACATACAGGATAATCAATCCACCTTAGTGACATAAAAATAAACCGAAAACCGAAAGGATTTATTTGCCAACCTAATAAAATTATTTAGAATTTTCTAATTGCAACCTTGCATCCTCGCAACCTAACACTTTCTTAGTTATAATTTAAAAAGATCCAAATCGTCATAAAAAAAATATATATAAAATGATTGTTTAAATTGTTTTATTTATTTATTTACTTTTCTGCCTCTAAAGCTCATAGAACAATATTATGCTAATTTAGTATTTGACAATAAAAACATGATTTTATTTATTCAGTGAAAACTGAACACTTGGAAATTCAATTTCATGTATTTTCTATATCCAGTTTCCGTAGGTAAATAAAAAAGTAGAACCAATTTTAGAAAACTCAACGCTGAAAATTGAGGTTGTATGACTCTTCATACAAATATTATAAATTTGATGGAATTGTTTATTGATTTCTGTCCCACCTTCAACAATATGGAATTTGGAAATAATAACATTGGAATTTATTTATTTAGTTACAATTTAAGGTTCCACGTACAACAACAAAGGTTAGAAGCATCTGATGTGAAATCGGTTTATACAGTTCTTTATTTTTCAAAAATAGTAATAAATTCTTCTGATTATTCTGTTTCATATATATATATATATATATATATATATATATATATATATATATATATATATATATATATATATATATAAATTATTATATTATACTTGTTGATCAGTGTGAATAATTAGCATAATACATTGGTAAGTGAACAAACAGCCATTTAATATGGAAATAAGTAAATGTAATGTATTATGAGTGCGAGGTATGAATATTCTTTTCCTTGGTCGATGACAATGGTTCATTTAAAATAATAAAATAAATTAAAAAAAAACTCTGTAATTGTATAGAAATAATGATTATATGTTTTCTTTTAATTCATAAAATCATTATGAAATAATGATTAGTGTATGAGACTTTATTAAATAATATTGAAAACTATTATTTTAAGTGACGAACAAAAATTATATAACTACTTCTTTAATTTAATAAAAGTTTCATTCAATAATACGTCAAGCCAATATTCTCTGGAACTTTTACTTACGCTGAATTTTTTTTTTTTTTATTTAAAGTAGAACATAAGAATATTTTTATTTATTTTCTTCCGATTTAGTGTTTACAAATTTATTGATTGCACATGCTTCTAATTATAATGCTGATTGTTTTGACCTTGACTCGACTTGGTTACATCCAGATCACATAGATCTTGAGGAGATAAGAAATGGTCATAACGATACTTGGAACAGATTCTAAGGAAGCACTTATCGATAAGGAGCTTTGAACCGATGAAGGGAGTTCTTTGTGTAACAACGACAGTTACACGCTCAATACCTCTTTACAAGACAACTGCCCTAATTCTTTACTTGCTTAGAACATATATATATATATATATATGAGACAATGGTTGTAGTTGCACTACACTTGCAATACACTGGTTGTAATTGATTGTATGTAGCTACATAAATAAAATTTTAAGAATTTATTTAAAATGCCGTATAAATCTCTTCATTTTATCTGGATTGGTGGATTTTTCAAACGAAAATTCGATTTAGAGACCATTTGAGAAGTATAATATTTAATAAAATACAAACAGCAACCGGTCATATTTTAACTGAGAAAAAACTAATTTGATTATTTGGCCCGGTGAAAGAGAATGATAGATAAATCGAGAATGATCCGTAATCAAGAACTAGCAAACTTATTCAAGGAGCCGGATGTGGTGAAATATATCCGGATAGTAAGGCTGAGATGGACGGACCACGTTGTGTGCATGAACGAGACCTCGACTCTAAGGAAGCTGCTCAGCATGGAGCCGGGTTGAAAAAGAAAAGTGGCTAGACCGGAGTTGAGAGGGATAGATGGAGTAAGTGCCAGAATCCTTGGAATTAGGAACTCAGAGCTCAGATAAGGGAAACTCTTGGGGCAGCCAAGATTCAGTAATGGATTGTCGAGCTCGGGATTATGATGATTAAACTATTTTATATTTTGTAGGATTTTATTTTATTACTTGATTTCCAACTCAGTGAAAATAAGTTAAAGTGACACTGGTAAATTATATTAGTGTTTTTTTGAAAGGTAGGCTCTGCAGTTTTTAATACCATTTCCTAGTAACCCAATGGTCAAAATGTTAGAGTGCGAGAACAAATCAAGCAGTCTTCTGAAATGTTACGATTTTGGATGTTTTAATTTATCGGGATGCCAACGAATAATTATTAATGATAATTATCCAGAAATGTTTAATAAAAAATAGTAAAATAAATTTGGATCTATAATATATTTGGTCCAGGATTAATTAATTGGATTTCTTTTCTCAAAGATTGGTTTGTGTTTATCATGCTTTCTAATTACCAACATTACCTGTGATCATCATGACATAAATAGGTGGTACAATTAAAATAACTTCTACTAAAAAAACCTGATTTATTTCTATGTTTAATAAAGAAGTATATACAAATAACATGAAATCTTAATGTGCAAATAATATATACAATAAACAAAATAAGGAGATTCATAGAATTTAATAATTAACTGTGAATTCAGATGGACTATTTGAGAATTATTGCCATAAAATATTTTAACATTAGGAATGGGAATTACAACTTAGCTATATTATGGTATGTGAAGTGGTGTAGTTATGGCATGTTTCATCGCTGCATCTGCTGATCCGAGGACATCTGATCAAGCCCAGGTCCAAAACCCAAGATGCCCATCTGTGTGGTCTAAATAGAGCCAAGGCATTAGTCCCCAAGCCGGAAGAAAACATCAGACCTATCCTCAAGGCCGGACTTCAACATAAGACCTCCTTTCTTACTTCTCGACGTATTATATACAAATATTCAGGGTGGGGCTAGGATGATTTTCATTGGTTCTTAACTTCACCATATTACTCCACAATAACTGGTAACACCCTAAAAGGAACCAGTTACTTTGCTCGTTACTAGTTTTATTCTGAGTAGGGGCCTTCTCTAGAGCTCCTTGTCCTTAATTTACCTGCTCTCTACCCTTGACGCTGTTGTTGATGTCAGAAGTCGGTTTCATTCTACTCTTCCGCAGAGTTATTGATTTTAAAAACTCATTTACTATGTTCAATAGCACATAGCACTTCCTTTTCGACTTCGTTAGTAAAGATAGATAAGGGTAACTTAATTGCTGTAATAATTTCTCAAGAACCTATGTGAGAAATAAAAAGGAACACAACTGTGTTAGTTGTACTAAAACTATACAACTTGTTGATACCTTCCCGTAATATTTGGAGAGGGATTAGTGTCGGTGTGCCAACATGAATTAGGCGGTGATTAAACTTGGTGTGCCCTTGTGGACGAGGCCTTAGGCTACAACTTTTTGAGACCCCTTAAGAGAGTAGAAACAAGAATTAGTTTTGACGAACTAATAAAACAAAGCTCAAAATAATTTGTTTACTGTTTGGAAATAGTTATTTTCTTTGGCATTGTCTTATGGATGTCAGATCTTGCTATGGAATATGGTCGTGTCGCTCTCGTTTGAACATAAAAAAGACCTCGTGCGCTGTAAAATAGTTAAAAAACAGATTATATATGAAAAACTATTAATCAGAAGATAGATTATAGAAACAATACCTAGGTTCGAGGTAGAATCCCATCATATAATCCGTCCACGTACAATTTCGTGGGTTATGCGAAGGTATTGTAGGACAGAGAGCAGCTGGAAAACTTGATAAAGTAATATTAATTTTTAATAAATGTATTTATGATATATATATATATATATATATATATATATATATATATATATATATATATATATATATATGTGTATATATATATAAAAACTTACTAATTTCCTGGTCTGATAGATTCAATAAAGTACTCAGATGCTCGCATATGACTGCATACGCCTGCAAAAAAATAATTTATTAGCTTTCAATAAAAATGACAAATCGACAAAAATTCTTCAGACCACACTTGTTTATTTGTCAAACAATATCTTCTACTTTTTCCTATGATAAGATCCTGAAGTCATGAATAGATTTTTTTAAGGCTAATCATTTTTATGGTATCATATAATTGTATTACAAATTTAACACTATTGACCTTAAGAAATGTCTAAGGTCAATTTTTACTGGGAAGGCCAGCCTTGCTACAATATTAAAATGTATTACCCTATTATATTTGGCCATTTATTTTGTGTATTTAAAATACAAAATAAATTTTTTTTTATATTTTAGTACCTTGTAAAGCAAATACTAATAATTTATTTGTATTTAAAAAAAATAATTCAGTTTATATTTCATATCAATTAATGCAAAACACAAAAATGTGTTCTAGTTTGCATTTTAAAATATTTCATTTGAAATATTGCACTGAATTGTTTTTTTTTTTTTAATGTAAAACTTATTCATCAATAAAAATTAAAGTGAGTGCACTAAAACGACAGAAAACTGCGCACATTTAAAGGAAATTTAGTCAAAATTCTCAAAGATTTAAGGTTTTGAAATGTTGCTTAATGATTTTTTGCGATGAACCGATATATTTTGATTTTATTATACCTTTTACGGTTAAGCACCAAAAGTGGAAACAGTTACGAACCTTTAGAAAATAAGACAGCCTCTTAAGAGGTAGTGCAGATCTTCTTAGAGGAGATACCTCGAGATTTCCAACTGCAAGGAGACACCTCTCGATTTTCAAATGCAAGAAGATTTGATCTGATACGCCTACAAGAGAGAAAGCTCAGCCTGGTTCCGGAGGACCTTTGAGTGAGGATTGAGGAACAGCCTTTCAGCTGAGAGATTGTATTGAGAGAAGCCACCGTTGAGGAATGGAACAGGCGGTGGATCACTACCGATTGGCTACCCTAAAGAAGTATTTCTCCACCGTCCAGTATCGACTAGCAGCCAAATCGGTCTAATTTGACTATTGTGTCTCTCAATTCCTCACTGGAATGATTTTTTTTTTGTCTCGTTGCAGTCTTAGAAAGGATACCCTATCTTCCAGTTGTGGTGTCCCGAAAACTGCCGAACATGTGGTCACCAACTCCATTGCGTTTGAGTTACTTAAGGCTATGTTAAAGAGCAGTACTGTTCTCTTCAGTCTCAATGAAGGAGAAGTTACCTTTACTCGTCTCTGCAAATTACTACCCTCAAACGAAGCGTTCGTATATAGATGGAATGAAATAGTAGGCACAGCCTATTTCAGTATGGGTGTAAGGATAAGGAGACAGACTCCCGCAAATTCAATCCAGGATTACTCCTGGATAGAAATATAGGAAACCGATTGCTTTGTACAATAAAATTTGTATCCCGTATCGTCGAAAGACAAGGGAAGGAGAGGGAAATACTTCAATGCCTTAACACCAACAACTGTTAAAGAACTTTGGAATTAAAAATATTTTCAACGTGAAAACTAGCCTACGTTATCACTTATATCTCCAATAGTCTTATAAGAATTGTATAAAAAAGCTAGCTATTTACCAGGTAAATCTATGACGCAACATCCCGGCTGGTGATTCCTCCCGCCGTTGGGATAGAAGTCGGCGTGGCAGATAGGCTCCAATGTACCCAAGAGGCCCCCGCAAGTGTGGATGCAGTCGACGAACTGGGCGTCAGACATGTCCAATCGACTGTTGTTCGACACCTTAACGAACCCTGGGAGTGCTGGATCCAGTCCTGGAAGAAATATACAAATAAAGCTTATGATTTTGTCCGCTATTCCAGATAAAGATTTTCTTTTTTCTTGTTTAGAGTAGAGTTTGAGATCCTTTATTAAATCATATTTGTATTAATGATTAGGCAATTCAAAGGCACTATGTATAATATGGAGTGCCAAATTGAGTGTCTTCATACTCAAATATACAAATAATATAGAGTGCCAAATTGAGTGCCTTCATATTCAAATACACAAATAAAGCTTATGATTTTGTTCGCTATTCCAGGTTAAGATTTTTTTTTCTTGTTTAGAGTAGAGTTTGAGATTCTTTATTTAATCATATTTGTATTAATGATTAGGCAATTCATAGGCAAGGTATTATTGATTGAGATTTTATTCGAATAAATAACTTTTCAATTGACGATACCTCAAGTGCTGATTTGTTTTTGAATTATTCAGTATTCTTATATGAAATTATTATGATTTATTCTAGGTAAATATTAACTGAATAAACAGCTATTAATGTGTTCAGTAATCATGAAAATGTTCACTGAATATAAATTTATTCAAGCATCAATCATTCCAAAAATAAATTTTCATTTTCATTTTTTTTTTAAATAAGGGTCCATAATGTTATAATAGCGTTATATATATATATATATATATATATATATATATATATATATATCATAAATACATTTATTAAAAATTAATATTACTTTATCAAGTTTTCCAGCTGCTCTCTGTCCTACAATACCTTCAAGCATCAATCATTCCAAAAATAAATTTTCATTTTCATTTTTTTTTTAAATAAGGGTCCATAATGTTATAATAGCGTTATATATATATATATATATATATATATATATATATATATATATATATATATATATATATATATATATATATATATATATATATATATATATATACATACATATATATATATAAATCGATAACAATGTTTCATCACCACATATCGATTTATTTTGCTATTATTTTTGTTGTAAATGTTCTGATTCCGATTTAAATTCGATTGTGCAAAATTATAATTGATAATTTATTTATAATAAGTGCAACCCACTACATAAGAATGAACCTTTATATAAAATAAATCCAAATAGTTATAATAAATCTATGCGCGGCTGCGAAATCTGAAATCTAATAGTATTGTTATAAAGAGTGGTTTAAAAAACATAATAATCTACACTTTATTATTACACTTATAAGCAAGGTGTTTCGTAATTGCATGGCATTATTTTAGGTATGTGTTTACTAATACAAAATAAACAAAAAAGTTCATATTGACGTATATCTCAAATTCATTTATTAAACATATGTCAAAGGTTAAAGATTTATTATTTATTTACTACATTAAGACTGACTGTACAAAGTTTAACGTGTTTAATACTAAATAATAGTTTTTAATCAACTGATAAACAAATGAACGATAAGCAAAGACAGTAGTTGCTCATCTGTTCGTCTAGTTCTGTGTGTTTTTAACTTTTAACTTCCTTCTGGCGAAGTACATAGAAACGGTCCTGCTGCTGTCCGAAGATATCGTGAAAAATTTCCTAACCAAAGAAAAGCAAATCGTAAAACGTTTGAGGCCATTGAAAGTCGCCTTAGGGATAATGATACGCTAAAATCTATACGAGTAAACGGCGGGCGACGAAATGCAAACGTTAAAGAAGAAATACTCGATGCTGTTCAGTTATCTCCTACCAACTATCAAGCATCATTCTGATGCTATACGAAGAGCCAGAGAAGAAATGGATTCGTCTTGCTGAATGTTTAATTTTTTATTCCAAAAATGCTTTCGTTGCATAATTATAATTTTATTATTGCTTATTGAATAACGAAAAGTGTAAGATTAATCATGTTATTTTTCAATTAATAACAAATGAATATATCAGTATTTTTAGTGATTTAAATAAAAATAAATTTCATTGATTATCATTTACTCGAAATTTGAATAAAATTTGGCTACATGTCATTCTATTATCATCTATTGTCATTTTTAGTGATTTAAATAAAAATAAATTTCATTAGTTATCATTTACTCGAAATTTGAATAAAATTTGCCTACATGTCATTCTATTATCATAATTATTCTGTACAATCATTTTAATTAATTTCTACGGAAGGACTGAAAACATTAATCTAAACATGGTAGGAATAGCTGTCAGTTTTTTCACTCTAATTCCACTTAACATAATACGTTATAGATAAAAAAATTAAATCAATAAAAAAGTATTCTTTCCTAGTACTACTGTTTTATACTATATATAACAGAACATACTGAAACTCTCATCCGATATGATTTTTCTTTTTGTTAGTATATAAAAAATAAAGTATCTTCATTCATACTTTGTTTGTCACGTTCATAATCTTGAGAAGTATATTGGGTGATGGAGGGTCAGGACGCAGCCAATGTTTAAGATACTTGGACACCTTCAGCACTGATAATGTTGGCCGTCTATGATAATGCAACCGTTGACAATAAAAATCTTAGAAATAGACTGCGTCCTGGCTCCACACCCATGATATGTAGAACATTCGAAAAAAATCCTTCAATTATTCCTTTGAAGTTAATTTAAAAAAAAAAAAATTGTCAGGCATATCCCTCAGAACGCACTTAAACTTGGGAACGACCTACCAGAAATCCGTCCTATCTTTCCACGTTTGATGAAGGAACCGGCGTAACCGGACACGTGAGCTCCCAGGCTGTGGCCGGCGATGTGGATGTCGGAGGGGTTGGCTCCTTGCTCGATGATCCAATCTAGGAGGGAGGCCAGGTACCTACCCACAAACACCGTGTTCTTGGCCACCTTGTGGTAGAACCAATGTTTTTCCTTCACCACTTTCCAGTCCACAGTGATCACGTTCGAATCCATAACATCCAGAACGTCTGAAAACAGTTAATTTATAAAAGTCTTAGAAATGGTCAAAGTTTTATAAAGTAACTCAAAAAGAACTTAAGATACTTTTTACAGATTTAAAATAAAGCACGTATTATAATTTTGAATTATAAAACATCGTTAAGTCATCTCATGATTTAGTTGTTTGGACAGAATTAATAACCGTGTATTAGTGCTGACGATGGTTTGATATCATTGGTTGCAATCAATAAAAATGTTTATGTTTCCTTACAGAACTATCACGTAAGTTAGATGTGTTAGCGTATATTTTTAAATCCTTTCGACCTTCATTATTGAAGGTTGAGTTTGAAATTTCATTTTTCCTTTTAGGAATGCTTTAGCTTCTACCTATAAGAGTCCTTAAAGGCTCTTTCATGAATTATAGCAATTGTTTTAGCCTACTGCTTAGTTTATAGTGTTTAATGATGAGTGTGGGCGGGGTAGTCGAATGGGCTAACGCGCAGTGCACAGCACCACCGTTACCTGATATATGACAAATATGATAAAAATATTCACAAGTTCGCGTCCCGGTGCCGAGGCGTCTTTTAAATCCCCGCCCACTCCCCCTGGCCCGGGAAAAACCCGTATAGCCTTAACGGCGAGGAAGGGGAGGACGCAAAAAAAAAAAAAATGTTTAATGATTAATCTTCATTTACCTTCTCCATAATATTCGTTATTGAAATATAAAACTGAGTTTACTATATTTTATGGTTTGACATATTGATTTACCATCATAGATTTCTTGTGTATTTTTCGACATAGGGTATATTTGTAAGTTATCGGTAGTAATAATTTTTTATATTTATACTGACCTAGCTACTATGTATTTTAATGTTCTGCTTAGTAATTGCATGTATTGACTTTAATACTTTTATATCATCCTTGAATTTCAACATCCAAGATAAAATGTTAGGATGATGAAGGCAGCACCAAATTCACTTAACTATGCTTTTATGTGTCTACCATTAAATAAATAATAAAATGATATAATTGATAATTTAAGATAAAACAAAGTGAATCAGTACTCAAAAAGGATCACTCATTCTTATTACCAGTGAGAATTATGTATATTGTATTAATTATGAAACATTTTGCTTCCTCACTACCGATGGTAGGGTATGGTAAAAATGTATGCTCAGAATCGAAAATTTCCAGAATCGAATTTGGTTTGGTGTCTGTCTCCAGTCAAATCGATGTAACGGTCACCTATTACCATTTATCCTATATTCATGAATTTTTTAGAGATTGTGCGGATTGTCGCATAAATGACCCCGTATCAATTTCATCAAATTGCATTCAGTACTTCTGCTAGCGCACGCGTAAATGTATTTTCTTAGATATGCCAATATTTCAAAAACAGCTCGTTTGATTTGGCTTTAAGTTGGATAAAAGGTAGATATTAAAAAAATAGTGTAGTGTGAATATCATTGAATTCCGTCTTGTACTTTCTCTTATACTCGCTAACATGTTTTCCTTGATATGTCTATATACGTATATATATATATATCTCAAAACGCATGTTCGATTTGGCTCAAATTCGGTGGAAAGTAAGAAATTGGTAAACAGATAGTTAAATAAGTACCAATTTTATCAAATTCTATTCACTACTACAAAAAAAAAACTTTCGCTTTCAGATCAGAAAATGTATTATTTGAAATGTTCGATGTGACCCAAACCTGGAGAATGGTGCAGAAATTACCTAGTATCCATTTCATTGAATTCCATTTAATAATCAAAATTATTATAAATAATTGTTAACGATATAATGATTGTGAAATCTGAAAGCATAGTTATAGTTGTCATTATTATTGATCTTATGGTTAGGGTAGGAGTTTTAGGGCGATAAATTGTTGATCTTATGGGGTGCAAATTAGGTTAATACTATATTTTTTTTAGATCATGTAATAACAAAAAAAAAACTTTTATTTGACGACACATATATTAATGAAATAATAAAAAAACACTAAGAAGATACATAAAAACATCAAAATGAAATAATAAAAAAACACATTTAAAAGAACATATTTACATAGAAAAGAAAAAGTATAAAACATAAAATTTATTTTATAAAAACATAAAACATTCATCTGTTTCTCGGAAAACTCCACCAAACATCTACTCCTGAGGTAAAACTCTCTCCACATGATTTTTTCGTTTAGAAAAAAGACTTTCGTCTGCTTCAACCACATTGTCAGGTCCTCAAATTTTTTTTCTTGTCCTGTATTACATGTCATGAGCACAAACCTCTCTTAGACATTTGTTCCACGTTACCATAGCTCCGTAGGATAGTTTCAGCTGCTCTTTGCCCCACTTCATCGTTGTCAAGCTATGGGTCCACACATAAATCAATTTTAAGGCTGTTGAAAACGAAATCCTCGAGCCCTCCAACCATGTTCCTTCCCTTATTGAAAGTTTTGTTTCATAAGGCCTACGAAAGCATCTCCATTTGGCCTTCCTGGTTAACTTCATTCGATGACCTCGTTCACACAATTTCACGTCGGCAAGTACCCCAACATTATGAAAATATTGAATTGCCTGTTCTTCTGAAGGCGGCAAATCCCATATTCTAAAAAGATCCATAATATGACGAAAATAAACGGGAAAAAAATGAAAAATAAACACAAACGGGCCAAAAACTACAAATAATGAAAAATAAACACAAACGGGCCAAAATTAAAGAATTTAATAAGTGAACGTAATAAGGGAATAACTGAAAACTAAACAATGCAATAACTCAAAGGTTTGGCGGGATAAGAAGAGGGAGGTTATATGAGGTGACGTTAGATAAGATAGATAAGAAGTGAGGTTTCAATCCGGCCCGCTAGACACAAAGTACCCATCACTGGTTTGATACTTATTGCCATTACTTAGATTTGGTGTAATTTTCAGTATATTTAAATGAATTTCAATTGAGTTTGTAAAAAAAATGTTATTTGTATTTGTTTTCATTTCTATTGATGTTCAACCATCTCGTCGTGGTTTTAATTTCCTCCTTAAATATCAAAGTTGTGTGAACTTGCATATTTTTATATATCAGCTTAATTAGTTTTGTTCTTTAGAAAAGTATTGGTCTCGCTAACTCAAAAGAAAAAAACTTGATTTTTTTCTATAGATTTTTTGTTCCATCCATTTTATGAATGAAAACACAGCTATTAAGTAAGTACCGGCTCAAAATAAAGAAATTTCAAACGGTTCATAATTAGAGATATTCGGTTTACCGATTATAGCGCCATGTTGGAAGGCCGAGGCCGGTATGACGTCAAGTTTTCTGAAAGTTTTGTTTACATTAGGTCCATTACGCCTCAGCCGGTAGGGTTGTTGCGAAGTCGGGTTAGTTCAGACATTACTTATTAATATCAATATCAAAATTTGATATCGACAGATAATCCGAATCTAAATATCAGTATCCTCTATATTGAATGATAGCGATACTAAAAGGAAATGTTTATGTGGCACATAAAAATATATATATTTTATTATAAATATGGACATTGGATACATTATCAATTGCGTGTTGGATATAATTAAAAATGTAAAAGAGGGATACTTAGAAAAATGTGGGACCAATCAATTCTTAAATTAACATATACTAGAGACATTGCAATATAGAACAGAGAGTTATTCTGCATAATAAGATATTCATTGGCAACTCCTGGTTCAAACATAAAGCGATCCACAAGAATACCTTCCAATGTAGTTGAGAACAAACAACGAGAGAGAGCATCATTGACTGTTTCATAATTGATCGGGACCTAAGAAGGTTATTTATTGATATATAAGTCATACGAGGGGGGACAAAATATAGGTCACTGCTTGAAAGCCGTTGGAACGAGGAGAGTACGCTCAATACAGCAAGTAAAGTATGTTTTCTACAAAAAATAAGGCTCTAAACCAAGAAAATAAAATGGTGGGGTCAAAATAATTGTTAAGCTCAAGGAATCCTGGAAAACTTATAATAGAACCAAATTACCTATTCGCTGGGATGTGTATATCAAAATCAGAAATAAAACTAAAACAATAGTCAAATCAGCTGAGACGAGAAACTGTGAGAAGTATTGTCTTAATAACTTTGAGAGCAAGCTCTTGAGCTGGAACAAAACTGTAGAGATAATATCATAAGTTCTGATTTATTGCAAAAGCCTTGAAGAGTAAAAGGTTAAAGCCGGTCAGAAACATGAAGGACATAAATAGAAAGTTGATGACCAAAGAAGTGCTGGAAGTTCTGAGGCAGTTCTTTCAGGGAAAAAAATCAGTATGGATGAATGTCTTCATCATAAAAGGCACTTCAGATGGAGAAGTAGACTGGATGAGGTTTATTCTGAAGAAACGGACGATCTGTTCGGGGAAGACAATGGATTTAGCAGTCATCAAAATCCAGCTAGGAAAATATCTAGGTAGATGGCACAGTTTCAGAATTTATTAAATGATTAAATGTCTCCAAATGCTGTTACAAAAGATTTGGGATCTTAAGTTGATGCCACGAGAATGGGAATACACCATAATCTCTATTCTCAAGAAAGGCAACCATAGTGAATATGGAAAATATAGGACAGTAAGCCTAAAGTATGTATACAATAGCAATATGCCTCGTAATAATAATAATAATATGGAGTAGTGTACAAAATATACACTAAGATTTCGGATCAGCGATTATGGCGACCCAGGACCACATTTTTAGCCTAAGGACGATATTAGTGTAAGCGTGGGACCGAGGCAATGCGGTCTTCATGACATTTCTGGATCTGAAGGAGACTTTTGACTTAATCCAGAGGCTTGAAATATGTGACACAGTAACGACAAGGAGAGTGCCAGCAAACCTGGCGATTGTCATTAAATCAGTGTACCAAGATCTGATAGGAATTGTAAGACTAAATGGTCATACATTACGGCCTTTCCACTTTTATAAAGGAATATAATAGGAAAATAAGCAGCCTTAGTTAGCCTGTTGCGATCCATCCTTCTTATGGATGAGATATTTCCAAGAGTAGAAATGGAATTTAACCGCTGTACTGGCACAAGCTATTATGATATATACCAATGATATTCTACTAATAGCTGAATCCCAGGAGACACTTCAGGCATCTTTGAATAAATAGAATGAGGAACTGAAGATAAGAGGTTTATAAACACAAATAAGAGCAAAATTATGTGTGTTGGAAGAAAAACCGCTGAGATCAGGGTTTTGTGTTATTCTGAATCCCTATAATTTACGAATATTTGTACGTACATAGAAACTATAATAAATTAATATGGTAAAATTGACCAGGAGGTCATAAGAGTGTCTATGGCCAATGAACTACATCATTAGATATCTAAAGCTATCATAGACAAGCAATAGTGAGTAGAGATGCAAAATTTGGATATTTAAATCTGTTATACTTAGATATTTAAATTCCTACCAGTTCTCCCGTATGGATAAGAAATCTGGGCGACCTCCGATAAACACGGATGTAGGATCACATCAGCAGAGATGAGATTCCTCCGAAGATATGCAAATTAAATTAAAGATTTTGTTTATAGAATTCCTAATAGAAGTATATCGGTAAAATAATCCTAATTTTTTATCAAGATATCTTCATTAAACTTACTTTTTCTGAAATCGATGTATGACTTATTTCCGGGTGAGTAAATGTAGTAACCGTGGACTAGAAATTTGAACGGCTTGTTTATGTTCTCTTTTAGCAGGCTGTTAGCTTCTCCTGGTTTCAGTTGTTCTGCATGCTCAGGATTTTTCCTATAGAAAATTAAGAAAATATATATTTATCTAATTTCAAAATATTAACTGCTAAAACATCAATTTATAAAAAAAATATTATCATTTTGAAGAGACTGATCCTAGATTAAAGTGCATTATTGTCTAACATTACATTGGATAGCGAATTTATATAAATTTCCAATGCGTGTTGTGAACATACACTAAATTGTTGAATGCACCTACATCATAAGTAAATTTCTGGATATAGAAATGGCCTTTGATCAAATCTGGCTCTTGATAAATTCTTTAAATTAATTTCTCCAAATTAATCACAATTATGATAATACATTAAATATGACACTGAAATAAATAGATAAAAATCACGATGAATTATAAACTCTTGTGGTACTTATCTTGTCCATAAAAAGAACGGTGTCAAAACTTGTAGGACTAATATAAGGCTCTAAGAATCTTCAAGCTCTTTATAAGGTTCAATTCACTATAACATTTTCTTTCAAGCTTTGTATTTCAAGAACGCATGGAAGGGAAATTCCACTTAAAACTGTGGAAGAGATCTGCTATTCAGGCTTTTCAAGTGACTAATATTGAATCCTCATTAAAAACTGGGATGATATGCAATAATTGATCTAAGCACAATGGCAGACATTGTAGGACAACACCCCTCCAAATAAATTGAAGGTCATAAATAGTGAAGTAAAGCCGTTGAGCGGTTCTAGTCGCAAGAAACGCAGAGAGGAAGTTATTCTTACGCGACTAAGAATAGAATAGGACATACCAGATTTTACGTCTGAACTCCATAACCGCCTTCGTTCAGACGCATAAACGCATAAACGCCATCATTCATAATCGCCAACTCCATAATCTAATCATCGTGGAGCGACCTATAACCACGGTGATTACAACTCCACATTATCGGCCGATTAGAGGTTTTATCGTCTATATCTCGGCCAAATTTGAAGATAAAGCTTTTTAAAATCATTTTGATAAATCATAAAAATCAATAATCCGCTCAAATGTATTATGTAAACTATTTAAAATTTTGGAATAGTTTTTACACCATGTTCCACAACAAGCATAGTAATATACATTTTGACAAGAAACTTTCTTGTTCGATAAATTTTCTATATTGTAATCTGTTTATACATTTTAGATATCATTCAATCCATATACATATATTGAATCAATAAATAACGTTTTTATCTACGAAAATTCTCAGAAATGGGGCATTTTATCATTAAATTGATTAATTTAATATCCGTAATTAATATCTAATACCCATTTGCTTTCCACTTGAACGGTAAGATAATTTGATTACGGAACCAAGAAGCAAGCTGTTTAACAAAAACATTGGACCGTTTGGCTCTTGATTTTGTAAGCTTGTTCTTTTGACATGTTGGGAGTAGAGGTCATCCCAAACGGACCATTATTTTTATAGGCCACTTTTTCTTTTTTTTTCTTCATTTTTTGAGTGATAAATTGATCTTACGATTCAAGTGGAAAACATATGGCCGTTAATCAGTTTAAGTACCTCCTTAAATAGACAAAGTTTACCGAACTGCAGTTTGGAAATATCCATTTTAAGTATCTTATTATTTTCCTCCTCAGTTACCTGGAGTAGTATAAAAATTTAATTTTCTTTTTGACATCTTCGTCGTCAACTCGTGTCGCGAAACAATCGTAGATGTTCTTGATGGCGTCTGGATGGACTTCTCTCTTGATTATTGGGGCTAATTGTTCGTAAAACTTTTCGAAGTATTCGTCCGACGGCTCCCATTTTACTTTCTCACTCTGGTTGGTGATGGAAACTGAAATGTATAATCATAATAATGATGACGTAATATAGGTAGCTAATTACTAAGTCCATGAACTAAGTACTTACCGATCAATAACAGCAAAAGTAAACAATGGATGCTCAACTGATTTGAGGCTTGGATCATTCTGCAATAGAGCATCCGGATTTGAAATTTATATAAATACAGAATATTAAATCAGGCTTAATTTCTACTATCATTTTGATCAGTCATTTTAGTACTAACGAGCTGGAATTTTATTTAACTATTTGTTTTTTTCTTTCAATTTCGTATATACGTATCCCAAAGTTAGTTTTATTTTTACTTTTTTTCACTAAAAATATTTTTAATTTATTCCTTTTTATTTTCTACCGCCATCTTAGTAATAATAATGAGCTGGAATTTCATTTAACTATTTGTTTTTTGCTTTCAATTTATTTTAATCATAGCCACATATATATATATTTTTTATAATGTAATTCTATATAATGTAATTAATTCTACGTATCAATTTTTTTCCGAATTTCTACACTTTTTATTTCATCTTAAATAAAAACATGAAATGACTTGTTGAGAAACTACCCACTGGTAGCACTCTAAAAACAAAATGTATTTACAATAAGAGATCTCGAGGCCATCTTCTTTTCAGACGCCTCGGAGGGTTATCAGGAATAGAAGAGGAAGCAAGGTTAGAGACGAGAGAATTCGGATGGTTCTGAAGTTTATTATGGAAGGATCGGTATCTGGATTGGGCCAAATCGGAAACATAAGGAACATTAAGGTCATTATGGATTATTTTATTGGTGACAAAGTAAGGAGCATTGAGGATTTTCCGAAGGATTTTGGATTGTAAGGATTGGATACGAGAGGAATTCGATGGCTTAGTGGAGCCCCAAAGCTCAACTCCGTAAGTCCAAATAGGTCTTATTGTAGTCATGTATATAAGTCTTTTGTAATTTACTGGAAGCTTAGAGCGTTTGTCTAGTAAGTGTTGGAGTAGTCGGAAACGTCGAGCGGTTTCTTGTCGTTTCAGTCTGGTATGAGGATTCCAAGTTAAACGTTTGTCCAAGTGAAGTCCAAGGTATCGGATTTGTTTAACAGGGATAAGTGGGGTATTATTAAAGGATACTGTGGGACATGAGGTCATAGGTTTACGTCGAAGGGTAAAGGTGATTTGATGGGATTTATTAGAATTTATTTTAATCCTCCAGTTTTGACACCATTCTTCAAGGCTTGTGATGTGCGATTGAAGAGTTTGGGATGCAATGGTTGGGTCATTATTAACGGATAGGACACATGTATCATCGGCATACGTGGTAATAACAGTGGTTAGGATGGGCTGGGATGTCAGCTGTATAAACTGTGTAAAGGATAGGACCAAGGATACTACCTTGAGGAACACCAGCGGACTGGGAAAAGAGGGATGAATAAGCATTATTGTGATTGACTTTTGAGTATCTATCAGTTAGATAGGAACGGATAATGAGGAAGTATGTAGGATGTAGGAATTTACGGAGTTTGTAAAGTAGTCCCGGGTGCCAGACTCGATCAAAAGCAAAAAATTGTTATATCCTTTTCTCCATCCTTGATCCTTTTCCATACAACTCTACTTCCCAACATCACAGTAATGACTAATATCCTAAACTCCTGTCACGTCAATGCACAATCCCTTGATGCCCCCTTTGATGAATTTCAAAAATATTTCCTCGATAATTTTTACCACACAATGGCAGTATCTGAAACCTGGCTGAAACCTTTTGTTCCTTCCTCCCGAATTCCCCTCCCCAACTACTCTTTCCTACGTCATGACAGTTCTGATCGCACGGGGGGTGGTGTCGGACTATATGTTCATGATAGTCTCAAGGCCAAAATCCTCTTACAGTCTCCTTTTCATGAACTCCCTCACATTGAATATTTATTTGTTGAAATTATTTCTATTTCCTCACCCTTACTATATGTTGTTATCTACCGCCCTCCTCGTGTTCCATTCGACCATCCCTTCGAATCCTCCCTTGTCAACCAGGTTTTCTCTTATTCCAATGTCATCATCTCCGGCGATTTTAATGTAAATATGCTCACAGAATATCCAGAAAAACTCTTCTTTACTGACTTCATATTTTCCCTTAATCTCTATCTGATTCCTTATTCACCCACTCAACACACGCAATTTTCCTACACGTGGTTAGAACTCTACATCTCTGATTCTCCCATCAAAATCCTTTCCTCTTCTCAATATGCCATTCCATTTCTTTCATCACACGACCTAATCCAAATTACATACGACCTACCCGTGAAATCCTTTACTCCCAAAATGATCTCATACCGTAATTTAAATCTTCTCTCTTATGAATACCTTCAACCTGACCTTGATTCTTTCCAATGAAACATCATATCTTCCTATAATTCCATCGATCCTATGGTATCCATCCTAACTTCAAACTTATTAGACACCCATGCTCCTCTGAAAACCAGAACCTTACGTCGTTCCACTGCACCTTGGCTGACTCCTGAAATAAAGGAATGATGAAAATAAGGAATGCAGCAAGGCGCAACTACCGTCGAACCTGTTTACCTGATGATTGTATGTCTTTCAAACAACTTTGCAATCCACAATCCGACTTTCTAAATCCAACTACTTCCACAATACACTTTCCAATGCTCCCGAAAATACTTGGTAATCTATCCCTACCAGATTCAAATAACCTCATCTCCCTACCTGTTACTCCAGATGTTCTTAATGACCGTTTCTTATCATTTGCTTCCAATCCTTCTCCTGCTCATGATATTGAACAACACAATTTCAATCCTGAAAACTTCTTTTTTCCCATGTTTCCTACGACGAAGTACTTTCCACTATCCAAAAATCCCACACTAATGATTATGGTCCTGATAATATTCCAGTAAAACTTATAAAATCCAGCCTTATTACCGTTATTCCAACACTTTATCATATCTACAACTTTTCATTGCAAAACTCCATATTCCCTTCTTCCTGGAAAACTACACTAGTCCGACCGTTGAATAAAATTTCTAACCCTTCCTCAACCGGGCTATTCAACGTAAAAATTTCATTGAACACCAAAACCTAACTATCCTCATCCTTCTAGATTTTCCCAAAGCGTTCGATACAGTTGAACATAAAATCCTTCCTACCAAATTGCAAAATCTCCCTCTATCGAACAGTGTCCCGCGTTGATTCAAATCCTTCCTTTCCGATCGATCTCAATATGTAGTCGTCCCAAATCAACCTCCTTCAAAGACACTTCCCTTCTCCCGTGGTGTCTCTCAGGGTTCCTCCTTATCTCCTACTCTGTATGCTATTTACATTAATGACCTTCCCCTCCTGATCCATCACTCCCAATACCATATATATGCTGACGATTTCCAAATATACCTGTCCTTCCCCCCTTCTGACCTATTAGCCGCCACAAGAAAGCTTCAAGAAGATTTAAATAGAATATATGACTGGGCAGGAGCTAACAAGCTGAAGTTGAATGCGGAAATGACCAAGGCAATCCTAATAGGCTCCAATCACCTCCTCAAAACTGTTCCTAACATTCCAACCCTGTTCCTACATGATAATCCCATTAAATTCTATCCCACCATTAAAAACCTTCGAATATTTTTTGATCAAACCCTTTCCTGGAAAAACCATGTATCCAATATCTCCCGATGTACCTTTTCCACCCTAAAACACTTAAATAGCCTGCGACACCTGTTTCCTTTTGATATCCGTAGACTCCTGGTCACCTCCCTAATATTTCCCCACTTCGACAATTGCTGCACAGTATATGGGGGCGTCTCTGGTGATCTCGAGGCGAAACTAAAACGTTTGATAAATTGCTTTGTACGATTCATCTTCGGGATCCCAAGAGACGCTCCTGTTTCCTCGTTCTATGAAGAGTTGAAGTGGCTTTATCCTTCCTACCGCCGTAAGTATTTCCTGGCATCCTTCCTCTTCCAAGTAATTCACTCCCGCCGCCTTTAATACATCTCCGAGCTCCTTCATATTAAATCCTCAGTCCACTCCCGCAATACCCGTTCACGGTTTTCAGATTTATATATAATGGCCCACCGAACCGCTGCTTTCGATAAATCTTTATTATTCGATCCTCAACCCTATGGAACTCGATTCCTCCCCACATCCGTCAATCCAAAACTCTCCCTACGTTTAAATCCCGACTGTTTAATCATATCTTATCCATCCAGCCCTCATAAAATTGTAAATAGCAACTACTGCAAATATGAATATAAATTATTAGATCGTTTTTCAATATTTTTACTTCATGTTTATTTTCAATTTTTTATTTTTTATTATTAACTAATTTAAATTAGAAAGTAACTTATTATTTTTTTCATTTTGACTATTTAATCAAACTATATTCTTGTTTATTTATGTCTTAGGCTCCTTAGCCCACACTTTTGTCTCTCTGTATTATTCTAAAGGGACTCGTCCCAGAATAAATATAGCATTATTATTATTATTTCACTTAGCCATATTTCTTTTTATTTCAAACGAAATGTAGAATCTACTAATATACTCTTATAACCCGTGTGACAGACTCCTTTTTATCAAATTATTAACAAGCGGCTGAAACTTGGTAGATAGCTTCGTCTCATGGTAACCTAAAATATTTTATTTACGAAAAATCTTGGAATAAGGACGTTTTCAATCTGGAGATCTGCAAACTTTGTCTATTTAATTAGGTACTAACAACTCGTGAATACCTATTTGCTTTCCATTTGAATCTTAAGATAATTTGATCACAAAGTCGAGAAAAAAGGTGGCCTTCAAATATATTGAGACGTTTGGGGTGAACTACACCCCATCGTAAAAATAACGAGGTTATACTAAACGATCCAATATTTTTGTAGGCCACTTTTTTTCTCGATTTTGTGATCAAATGATCTTACAAGTTGAAAGCAAATGGGTATTTACGAGTTTTTAGTACCTAATTAAACAGACAAAGTTTGCCGACTTCCAGATTGAAAACGCCCCAATTACGAAAATTTTCGTAAATATAATATTTGTTGGTTACGATGAGACGAAGCTATTCACGAAGTTTCAGGCGGATGTTAATAATTTGATAAAAAGCTGTATGTACCACGGACTATTAATCTTAAATATTTTTAAACCAGTTTTGGGAT